GGACCGGGAATTTGAGAGGTATTCAGATGCACAAGCGTCCACCATACTTGCTGTGCGACTCATTACAAGGAATCAGGTGCGGGCATGCTTATTGTCACTGTCATGCATCTATTTGAGCGGGAGGCTTTGGGTTTATTTCTCACTTCGGTCATAGAGGAGTTACTGTAGCAGTCCGAGGCTTGGCACCTTGGACCTGTCCTTACAGAATCCCACCCACGGGATCAAGCTTCCACCATCTCCTTCACCATTTTCCTAACAAAAATCCTCTATTCAGAGCTATACCTCTTGCAACCCGTGAATCTCCTTTCTCAAACACCAATCTCCTTTCAACAGAAAAACATTCTTTTAGTCCATCGTCAACACCACACTCAAAAACCAAGAGAACCCCCTTTTCAATTCACCAGTTCCCTCCTATTTATACCAAATCAAACAGAAAACCTCAACTCCTTTCTTTTCTCCTCATCTAAACCCTTCAATTTTTCTTCTTTTTTTTTTCCACCATTGATCTGATGAGGCCAAAATTGACCCTACAGAACAGCCAAGAAAGCTGGTGCGCTGTTCTTCTGCACGTGAGGCAAAGACAAGGCTTCTTTTTTTTTTTTTTATTTGAAGTGTGGGCCATCTTGCTGAAGAACAGGACTAGGCGTAGAGCAGATTGCAGAACAAGGGCGCAGCAGTTTGTAGGCTCGGGCGTAGGCGGTTGCAGGCTTAGGTGCAGCAAAGGGGGCGCAGCAACGTGTAGGCTCGGTGCAGGCAAGTGTAGGCAGCAGGGGGCACAGGCGGTTGATTCGGGAGATGAAAGAGAGAAAGCTGAGGGCCCTCTATGAAGAAGATTCTCGGGACCCTCCCCCTTTTTTTTTATCTCTTTCTCTTTTTTTATTCTTCTTTTTTTGGGGGGGGGCAGTTGGGTTTTTTTTTTTTTTTGGGTTTAGGTAAATTGTGGGCTTTGGATTTTGGGTTTTGAGTTTTTTTGTGGGTTTTAGGTTTGGATAATTTAGTAGGCTCA